TAGTTTTATAAAAAAAATCATCAAAGATGTTCAAACTGAGCACCCCTTTGTTGAATATACAATAAACATCTTTTGCGTACAGAGTTGCAACAATTTATTAGGCGAACTGGTGTAAAGTCCAAAAGCTTGCCTAGTAGCCTTCTGTAATTCTCAAAAGGAGTTACATCAGAGGACCTAGCAGGCCAAGATATGGGATCCCTTGTTCCAATCCAATTCTCTCTAAATTCTTCATTTAAAGTGCTGTTGTAACCCTGGTTTTTTAATTGTAAATGGTAATATTAATATAGAATGACCTTTTCCAAAGTCTTTAATTATGCAGATAAATAATGATAAAGAATATTAAATTGTAATAAAAAATAATTAGGCAACTATAGGTCAACACAAAATCAAGGCCCGCTTCGATACAAAGATAAAAAACGTAATATTTCTCTCATTTTTAGAAATAAATATACATAACTTTATATCGTTGGAAAGGATCAAACGCCAGCATTTTTTTAAGTTCATAGCCAACTATGAACTGACTAAAAAAGCACGTATAGAAAAAAACTGACTACGCCACTGGATTGTGCTTAAAAAGTGCCTTAAGAACGTTTATACAGAATTTTATTATTCCGGGAAATACAAAAGTTATGGACATTTTTCCAAATGGTAAAAAAATCAAAAAGACTCCGTATCTCGGTTGGCAGTGAAAATATGAACAGACGGTTTAGGCCATTAAACGTTTCCCAGAAATCGAGCCCATGACATCTATGTCGGTTTTGCTCTATATAGTCTGGAAATAGGTTTTCTCTGTTAAAACAGACCAATTTCGACCACCCTGTACACTCAAATTTTATATATTTAAATGTAGATTTTATTGCCTTAAATAAAAGTTGTTGAAATATTTATTTTTAACATAGTTTTTTTAATATTTATCGCATAACACTCTGAATTAGAATCGCCCTATAGGATTCATCTCTGTAAAATTCTGTATATATGGGTATTTCGCCACTGCAAGAAAATCTACAAAATAAGATAGTTATTTTTTTAACACTGCTGCGTTAATCCAAAGAAAACTACTTGTCAGCAGTTAGGTAGGTAGTAGCAGTTAGGTAACAGTAGCAGTAGCAGTAGCAGTTAGGTTTACAGATGAACAAATTTGCCTATCGACAAAAAAATGCTAACTTTTCGGAAAGTTTATTTTTTCCATCGTCGGAAGCAAAAAAATACAAGGAATAAAGAAAAACTATTTAAAATATTTAAATGCAACTGTTCTAGAACACTTAGTTTTTTTTAAACAGATACGTCTACGAAAACCTTTGACGTTCTGTTAACATGGCATTATATCAAGTTAAACTACAAAATTAACAACTACTACCTGATAACAATTACTTATTAAGGTAAAACCAAAAAACCTCAAACTTTCTGTCTGATTATATTTAATTTTTACGTATGTTATGTTTATTTATGTTATGTTCTTTAAAATCAAAGAAGCGATTGCCATACGTTACTAATATTTACAGATGCATGAGCAAAAGAGGATGAGGATTTTTCCGGAACTATAAAAAATGTATATTTTTAAAAAAGAAGAAAAATTATAATATGTGAACAATCAAATATACTTCTTTATAAGATTTCTCCCAATAAACAAACTACAAGATAATCTTTAATCAAACCAAGAAACAGGAAACTTTTCTGCATGTAAAAGCAACAAGCGTTCATTTTATATCAAAACCTCAGTCGTAAACACGAAATTTTACGCACATATCCTCACATATATCGGGAACTGTTCAATAAACCAAAAAACAATCGTATATATGCGCGAGAGTTTGATGTGGAACGAAGTTTTTCCGATGCTCCCCTAACGCGAACTTTCGTTTTCCTAACTTGTTCTTTATTATCCCTTTCAGGTTTTTTTTCACCTACTTATCCCTATAAAGCGATCCATCAACAGCATCCAGAGTTTTAGCACGGTCGAAGATTGTCGGTACGTTAAACATTTTGAGAAAAATAACGCAATTTCTGGAAATAACCCATATAGCACGTCCAAATGAAATTACATTTCTACAAGGGAGTCACATTGTAACGTTTTTAGTTCGTTACATGTCTTTTTTATATATAATATATGATGTGTGGCCTATCGTCACCGGATTCCCTCTCGTTCAGGATGGATAGTTTATTTGACGCGCTTGGCGTAATTTTTACTTTCTCTACACAACCCTGTTATCTTTTGACAAAACCCTGTTATCGTTCTGTGGAGGCGCTGTCAACATCGCTTCTTTCAACTCTCTGTGCTGTGGACTGACTTTTGCTTTTAGCGCTCTGTAGCCTAACCTAACCATCCCGGCTTTTAGAAATGGCAATAATTTAAATCTTGCTGCAAAATCTGAATCAGCTGCCATTTCGAAGCTGCAGGTAAAGATGAGTTATTATCTTTTATAGATTCGATATTATTTTTGAATATTTTTAGGGTAGAGTTTTGGATTGGCCCACCTTAACTCGTATTTGTATTTTGCCGACACATTGGTGTACTTTTGCTGTTGTCCTCCAGAATGTTAATTGGAAGAAAGGACAGTTCTTTTGTTTTATCATTTCGAGGTAGGTTTATTTTGTTTATTAGCTGGCACTCAGAGTAGCAGGACTTTCTATTCTTTGTCTCATTTGTTCTCACAGCTTCTCTAGGTATTCTTTAGCCAACTTCGAATTGATTGATTCTGTGTTGATCGCTTTTAATGATGAGCAGTCCTATGATTATCCTAAAAGTTTTCAGTATTTCTTCACCGAAAGGAAAATATTATCAATATAATTGATTTAAAATGTTTTTTACTAATTTATTTACTCTTTATTTATTTTACATCTCTATTGGATTTTGTTTATGAAAATGAAGAGTGATATCTTCTGAAACGTATTTATTACTTTTTAAGTAAAAACTATTTTAAGTTGATTTAATCTGAATTCAATTCTAGTCGTATTATATAAAAATATATTCATTATCTAGTTTTTCTGTTACAGTGATAAAATGTCCAGTATTTTCTAAAAATAATGCTGCCATTTTTTAAAGAGTATTGTCGATATAGTTCGTTTATCTTATTTAAAGTTCGTTTATTTTAGTTAAAGAGGACCAATTAATATGATTCGAGTATTCAAACTACATTAATTGACTGTTTGCGTTGATTAATAATAATGCTCCAAATACTAAAAACCTGAATTTTGTATGTGTATTAGACAGTGCAGTAAAAAGTAACACCTTAAAAATTTTTATATTTTTTTTACGAATGGTTATTTATAACAACAGAAACGTTCATTTTTATAACTTATTATTATATTGATTTCTTATTCAAATCAACATTTATTTAGAATAATTTTTAACTAACATAATTAAGTATGTAATTAATTAATATTTGGGCGGAAATAATGGTGGTATATTTACTTAATGGTATATTTTATATTTAAAAGATGAAAATGGTTTTCTTTTTGTATACAAATGGGCTAGTGATATTATCGTTTTTATCACCTGTACATTTTGAACATTAGTTGCTTTAAAAACAATATAAAATGTCAATATTCCATGGGTATATTGATAAATAAGGTCTAAATTATAAGAAAATCCATTTTCTACGAAAACCTGGATAAGAGATAGGAAAAAATGGAAAAATACAATTTGATAGACAATTAAATTGTTCATCTGACTCTCCTAAAATACATATAGAGGGTGTTCCATTTAAATTAAACAATTTACTGCCGTTAAAATCTAGAAACTATTTAAAATACATTTTTAGACACTCTGTATGAGGTAGTATTATTTTATAATATATTAACAAATTAAATCAATTATAATATTGCAACACAATAACTGATCAATAAATAAACTTTATTAAATATTTAGTACTATTAAAAACGTTGATATCCTTGGAGAAATGAAGCCTTAAAATTTTTGCTGCAATTTCACAAAATTGAAAATTTTTCAAAAACGGTAAGATTTAAGTGTGATTTATCAACCAAACCAAACCAAACCAAATCAAATGTACTTTTATTATAATCGTAGAAACTAAAAATTTAATAATATACAGGGTGTTCCATTTAAAAAAATACAACTTTGATAATTTTTATTTAATGTATGTTTTATTTAATGTATATAATGACACTCTGTATCTTATAAAAATATGTTTAAATTGTAGCTTTAACACTCCTTCAACGAACCCAAGACTTGCAATTTGTAAAAATCTAATCGTTTTGCTACAATACGAATAATATAATAACAATCCTGTGTAAGCAGCTTTAATTTTAAAATATTTTTAATCAACTTGCCCACATATACTTTAAAAAATATCGTAGTACATGTCCCAAAGACAAAAAATAACAATACTCTTTACTTAAAGTGAAACAAAGATCTTTACTTAAAGTGACAAACAGCAACTGACTCACCGGCATTCTCTCTTGGAATAGACTATAGTGCCTTTCTATGTTTGCGCATCTATGTTACGATGGTTACGCAAGGCGTTTCCTTTCATGAGCTTTTCTGTGACTGAAAAGCCCGATACGTGATGTTATCTCTCTTCCGCACTCCGGACGTTAAAAAATCTCATTACTTTGTTTAGCCGCTTTTACTTTTTAGTTGTCGCTGTTAACTGAATTTACAATTCTTCTCCATTGCGTTCTATGTGCGCTGCTTCCTCCCACTGATGCTGCACACTTGTCCCCTTTAAGTTTTCATGGAAAACATCCTTGTATCTTTTGAGTTGTCCACCCGGTTTCCTCTTACCCTCTACAAGTTCACCGTAAAGAAGATATCTCGGTAGGCGGTTTTCTTACACAGTAATACAGAGAAATAGCGTCCCGTTAAGCGCCAGCTTCAGAACGAAACCTCCCCCGAACGTGACCCAGGTCGGGACCGCCACCACGCGCGCTTCCCTCCGGACGCAGGCCCGTCCAATGAGGCTGTCCCGAGCACCACGTTGTCTCTTTCTGCGTCGGGACGCCGCACGACGCCGGCAGTCGGCATGCTGCACGCGTCTCGACGAGCCGCACAGAAGATCGACGACACCGTGGGAAAGATCGCGATGAGATCGTCGGTGGTTTTCGGGGAACGTTCGATGTATGTCGTTGTTTTGGTAGCGCTGGCCTATGTGAGATTGGGGTATGCCGTTGTTGACCTGATGGGAGCAGGTAAAAAATGAGAAATGAGAGAGATTATACCTATTGAGATTCCAATGGAAGTTGATACATCATAGATATTTAAAACATTGCTGATTTTTATTCTCTACAACTCTAATATTAAATTTTATTTCTCTAAAGAGAAACATATACCTATATTCGTTAATAAAACAGTCAGATTAATTATTACACTTTTCATAAATTAAAGAATACTTATCATAAATGTCCCAGTTGTCGTCAAATTAAGGGAATATCTCAGTTCAGTTAGCTGTAAAATCCGAATTATTAGTATAAGGCTTACAAGAAAATTAAATATGATAAGCTTGACCGATATTTTCGATTATTGTCAAGAAAAACTAAAAAACTACAATTGCTCTAAATGTCGGCATCTCTCTACCTATACATATATCGTCACCAACTTGTCCCAGTTTTCGTCATATCTTTATATGTGTCATTTCAAACAAAACCCATTGCTTTTTACAAAAGTTTATTTAGGAATTGCGACACATTGCAAAAAATAACACATAAACAATTAAATAATTAAAAAAATAAGCATACAAAATAAAATCTTAATTAATAATATCTTCGATATTAGCTCAAAAATAATGCAGATATATAAGCATTATTAGTAAATATAAAGTATGACATAACAAGTATATCATAAACACCACTTTTATTTTTTTTAATTTTTGTAAAAATATCACTTTTAATATTGTCCAAAATATCTTTAGAACTCTGATATTTAGCATTTTTAAAATCACAGATATTTTACAGGATGCCTATATTAACATGGCTTACATGTCTAATGGCCTAAATTCCGTCGCAGACATCCAGTTCTCGTCATCTATTTTAAAAGTGGGAGACAAATTGGGTACATTAAATAGCCCATCTTCATACTGCCATTTATGAAAAAAAATTAAATTACAGAAAAATGAAATTTTTATACTGAATAAAATAACCGTGCCTATAATGACCCAATCTTCGTCAAAGGTGACGATTATATGGCACGTTCCGTTGCAACATATCCCAAATACCGTCACCCATTTTTATTATTAACATTATAGATAAAACATATTTTTTTATATAAATACATATAATAGAAAACATCTTACACTGGTAATTAATTATGTTTGGACCTTAGTATACTAAATTACATTATTGCGAAAGAAAATCAAGAAGACTGTTGCTCTGCTTAGCTTATAAGGAATGTGTGGTTTCTTGTCAATGTCTAACTTCCAAATAAAATATTCGGTATTCCACGTAAATGAAATGCGCCATTGACTAAAGATGTTTCCAGATATATAAAACAACTAAACTGCCCATTTTCAACGAGTTGTAACTTTGAAAAAAATGGACCGATTTTGTTGATTTTTTTAGCATATTAAAGATCGTTTTTCGTAGATTGATCTGATTTTTCTGAATTTTGTATGAGCTTTAGTTTTCTATGATATACAGAAATATATATAAAAAAATGATTAAGTAACGCAGTTTAATACAGGATCTCTTAAAAATACGACCAGCAAAAAAGTAAAATTATTTTTTAACCTGATGGGCTGTTAAGTTCAGAATATTAAAAAAATAATTTTTCTTTTTTGCTGGTCGTATTTTTAAGAGATCCTGTTTTAAACTGCGTTAGTTAATCATTTTTTTTTTAATTTCACATTGTAAAAGTAACGAATATCCTACAATTTTAAAGTTAATTTCAGTTTTGTTAGCATATCTCTTAAGAAAGGTAGAAAAATACAAGTTAGAGTAAAAATTGATTATCTTTTATTCCAGATGAGTTATCGTAAAAATTCCAAGTACGTCCCAAGATATTAGTCTTAGCCGAGGGGTGTCTCACTACTGGAATTACATGTACATTTTCTTGGCAGTCGCTGGCAGTCATTGGCAGTCTAATTACATGGCAGTCATAGGCAGTCTTTTTGGCTGTGATTGGCAGTCGCTTGGTAGAAAGATGATATTTTGGCAGTACATGTCCATTTTTTATCCAAGTGAGATACCCCTCGGTCTTAGCTATACCCAGAACTTATAATTCTAGTTAATTTTTTTGGCAAAATCGCAGCAACACAAAAACTACAAAAATTACATTTTTTTTCACGCCCTGTATATCATAGAAAACTAAAGCTCATACAAAATTTAGAAAAATCAGATCAATCTACGAAAAACGATCTTTAATATGCTAAAAAAATCAACAAAATCGGATTATTTTTTTCAAAGTTACGGGCCGTTCATTTGACAGGCAGTTTATTTAAAATTATTTATTATAGAATTTTTTTATTTCTTCACAATTTAAAAGGTATAAGGATATTTTCCACAAAAATGTAAAGGGGATAAACATGCAGAATGAGTAGGAAGAAGCAGGGCACGATAGAACGCAATGGAGAAGGATTATATCTCAGTTAATAGCGAAACCAAACCCAACCAAAAAGCAAAGAGGCAGCAAAGCAATGAGATGTTTGAATTTCCGGAGTGCGGAAGATTGATAACATCACGTAGACCGAAAAGCCCATGAAAGAAATTACGTGTCAATGCGTTGTGATGCGTATCAAATACTCGTCAGCGAGTAATGGCAGTAGTAGTAGTAGTAAACATAATTTGTAAGTATATGATCAACGTTTCTTCGTGTAGAGTCTTCGATATCTCGCACCTTTTTATTGAAAACTTTACTAAATTGTATCGAATTATATCACGTTCGTGGCATTTCACCCAACCGTTAAAACCCGATATTTCTTCGCGCGGCAATCAAAAATTGATCGCGTGTATTAAAGATGGCGGCGACACACCTTGACTCAGTCTGTCGTTATATTTACGTCGCAAAAAGTCATTGGCAAAAGAAAAATCGAACAAAACGTAAAGTCGCTAGTCGCTAGACGAGCTTTAAAACTTTTCTCGGGTTAACTGCTCGTAATTACAAGCGGTTAATATTTTTATACGTTTTTTTTAAAGTAGGGAATTAACTGCAAAGCTATTTTGAACAAAATGTTTGGATTTTTATAACCTGTAGATGTGCCGATAAAAGAAATATGGTATGGTGACCCAGTTTAATGTCGAGTTCTACCCACCCACCTTCTTCCATTTAATTTAATCACTTCTTATGCTTATCTTTTGCTTTTTAAAATTCAGCATTATTTTCAAAACTTGGCAGCTATTTTCTGGCTTTCAAGTTTGGCTCTTATTGTTCTCCAAAACTATACACAATGGCTTTAATGTTATCCGAAAAGTATCGAGATAAACGTAACAAGTTCCACAAATGTCGGGCTCCGTCTTGAATAAATGGTTTTGATTTTATTCTAAACCACATAGGTGCGTAGACTTTCATTACTAATTCTACCAGAACTTGAAAATTCTCGGATGGATTTTGGGTAGAGATATAAAGTCTAAAAATTCTGTTTGCAGTGGTCAACCATCTCGAATGTGCCATTTTCCCTGGGTTTTTCTTGGCTAAGTCATCGGAACATCTTCCGCTTTTTATAGCTTCACAAATGTGTAATAAATAGTTTTAATCAGAGCTAAGATCCTTTTTGTCAATTTCAGGTAGTTCTGCATCAACGATTTTGAAGTTTACAACAGGTTTCAGTTCACAGTCACTTAGTAACGTACCAATTGGTCCAGAAAAGTTATACGGTCCTTTTGTGTGGCCATCCAAGTGCTGCAACAAGTGGCGAAAAGACAATTCGTTTGCGTGTAGTAGGCAAATGCTCCCCTGTAAAGGTTTTTTCATGGAAACCCCAAGATAGCGTATAACTCCTCCCTTCCACCCCGTATTCACATTTGTACCACCGCATCCTATTACCCGAAGATCTTCTGTTTTGATATTATGATTCCTTAAATAGTTAATGATACCATTGGACAAGTCGGCTGCTTTTACTGGAGGAACTAAAGACAAATATCCAAGATATAGGTTATCAGGTTCTTCAACAAGTGCAATATGTTCTTCAGATCTAACTATGCGTTTTCCATCTAGGTAAACCATGGTTTGATCTTTACGGCCATCATAAAATTAATCCAAATACACGTGAACATGTATTTGGATTAATTTTAATTGTATTTGTAAGTTATGACGACCTTTTTATTATTTGTTATTTATTTAGGTTCTTTCTTGTTAGGTCTGATGATGCTCGTATATGAGCGAAACACGTGTAACAGTTTAACATTGTATAAACGTCGAGACCGAGACTTTGAGTCTTTTTTCTACCTTTTTTAATTTTAGTTTTAGATTTCAACCCGCTGTGTTACCGCAACGCTGATATTATTACTTTAGAGGGACGAATTTTACGATTGAACAGCGCGAATAACTACATAATTCGCACCTTCCAATTCGCTAATTAATACCTGAATAATTATTGTAATAAATCAAAGCTAACAAGGATGTAATGCCTGGTTCTAATTTCGCCAATACGTAAAATCGTGTAATGTATTAAATAGGATGTGAACAAGAGAACTTAAAAGCATTTAAGCTCTGATCAAGATATCCTCATTTAAAATATTGTTTTTGTCATCTAGTTATTCACTTTTTTAATTAAGGGTCATGTCTGTCATTTACTGTCCTGCAGATTCTGACTTTGTTTCACTTAGTAACCAGCGTTTGGCGCAGGAATTTACTGCAGTAGTTCAAAGACTGAGATCTACCACAGTCTTGGAAAATAAAACACAATTTTTCAAGCTGAATTATATACTATTGAAACTTGTGTGCAACTGCTGGTAGAACAGCAATACACCGGGAAAACAACATGTGTATTTATTTTATTTATTTTTATGCACTTGAGGCAACGAAAAGCAGGAAACTACCTACTTAATATATTAGGAAATAGGAACAAATTGTCGGTAATATGGATACCGGGACATTTCGGCCTAGAGGGAAATGAACGTGCTTCCTCGCCAAAACTAGTACAGGTTCACCATTTGTGGGCCCAGAACCAACACTTAGCGTTCCAAAAAATCTTTATGACAGTCCCGGAATGGAACATGCCAAGAAAATCCTATATAGCATTCTATCCAAACGTAGAACA